TATGTCAAGACATTGAGCCCAGCGATTTATCTCAGAAAGTCTATGTTAGCCATTTGTACAGGGGTCGAAGTCATCTATTACACTCAGGACCGTAGGCGAGCACTGGGATTAGACCGACTTGAAAACAGAGAGCTTTTTCCTCTGACTTACTTCTACTTTAGCTGCCACGGTTCAAGCAAGTTCATACGGGAAGAAACTGGCCACTGTGATTCGCCGGATGACCTCTTCGCCATGTTTCTCATCACCAGTAAACACGACATTGAGGTACTTGAACCTGACCATCTGTTCCAGTGATTCTCTGTTAATCTGAAGAACTCAACGGACAATAGAACGAGAATGCTCTAGGCGTGCATGCCGATCACTTCGCACTTGACTCGAACCTTTCCACAGAGAGGTGGAGACCAGCTTAAAAAAATTCCGACGAAACAAAGGTCATCTGCAAGCAGCAAGCCTCAGCAACAAAAAATGCGTCGTCGCCCTGGCTGCGCCTGACTATTCAATTAATCTGCCACACAAACGGGACAGGAGCGAAACGTAACCTTGGCGGAGACCAGTGCTAACAACGAAAGGTTACGACTTAAAGCCATTACGACTTATTCAGACACAGCACCTACTCTCAAAGCATAGTGAATGAATGGTTCGTGACAACTTGTCATCGACCCGACAAGTCCATACCCTGCTGCATTAGATTTGGTCATTGACTTTCCCCAGATCCACAGAACATATGTAGAAAGAATGACCAGAAAACTGCCATTATTTTCAACGATCTTGGGTAAAGAGAAAATCTTGCCAGAGCTGCTTCTGGCTGATCTAAGGCCAGAATGCTCAAATCTTGAGGTCAGTTATTCCACGGCAATTCCTTTCTAACATCGTGTAAACTTTTCCAGTAGGGTTGAATAGAGTAATGGTCTACAAACGTTTCAAGGTGGATTTCATCGATTCCCATAACCTTGCCACGGTTCCAGCATTCCAGGGCTAGAGTAGCTGGAAACGGTCATTCTTTCAAAATCACGCCTTTCTGCCTTTTAGCATCTGCTTCGACAAGCACATTTTAATCGCCCATAAGAATGATAGTTTCCGTAGTCGGCACTTTGCACACAACACCTTCTACATTATCCAGAAACGACAAATATTCTCGCTCCAAACTGGGCTCACGGACAAGGTTAGAGCTTTAGCCTCCTGAAGCCTCAGTCGGACGATTGCCACTCAGAGGTTTACAGGCTTCCCTGCAATGATTCGATCAGCTACGGCGAGTTCTTCCAGAATGCCAATACCTGCCTGAGCGCACATACATACATACATAGCCACACCATGCTCTCGGCGCCTGAGTAAAATAACCCTTACCCTCTGAGTTTCAGAATTCCAATGCCTTGGCGTTTCATTGGCGAGAGTCCAATTATGTCGAGTTGATACCTTGTGGCCTCATCAACTAGCTCCTACTCTTTCCATTGGGATGAGGAGGCGTTATTTCTGACTGTGCTCTCCCTTCCTGGGTATCGTTCCCATAGAACTTTGTCTGATGGGTTATATTGGAATTGTACTGTCTGTTTCCTGTGTTCACAAAGGATAGCAGCTTCATTGCTCACTGATATTTTACTTGTCTTATTGTCGATCATCCTAAGCTGCGTTTCCATCTGCCAGAAGG